ATATGTAATTCGCCATTTCGGCGCCCATCTTGGATTTATAATGTTATTGATTTTATTATATTATATTGTCATCTAAATTCAATGTGTGTCCCAAATTTCACACCAATCTGACAACAGGAAGGTGCGTCACCTAACAAATAAGCCATAGATACAAAAATGCTGATTTAACTTATAGAAAGTAAAGAACTACTTCTGGAATGTCTTTTTGTTCTATGACAGATATTATTTCTAGTACAAGTAGAAAAACGTAAAGGAAAAGTTCTTCTGCAAACCATGACCAGTTTTTGTTTTCTGTCGGTAGGTATGCAAAGTAGAAAGAGTTCATGTAAATGTACACTCTGCTCTGATAAGCAAGCGGAACGAAGCGGTCATGACGAAAGCATGCTTAATTGGAAACACATGTCTTTTGTCAAAACTAACCAACGCAATGAGAGACTTGTAAAAACAAGATGTAAACGAAATTAATGTGGAGGTTTTGAGGATATTACTATATAAAAGTAAAGTCCGAAGCATCAGCTTTGACTTAAGTAAAAAAATACACCTTAGGTCAACGTTGTTTGCAATTTCAGAAGGACCTCCATATACAAACCATTACCCACGTCAAGACTGAGATTTTTGAGTTTTAGTTAAAGATAGTAAATACCTATAATAAGTAAATAAATGTAATTGTTTTGTTGATATGATAATTTAAAAAATCTAAGTAAGTAGCCTACAACCGAATAACCTGTTTTGGTTTCAGAAAATTAAGGACAGGGATTAAGAATGATTTTCCGAAAAATAGGGCATTCCGATTTAGATTTTAAGTTAGAGGGACATAATATTCTAGATGCTTCCAGGTGCTTTGTCTGCCCCCACCAATTGTATATTAGATTATACTTAATAAAAGATAATTTTTGGAGATGAATAACTATATTGGACATCGTTACTAGGTTATATTTGAAAAACGTACTTACATTCTTGTATTTAAGTAAAATTATTTCACCGTGTAACATTCATTAAGGAAACGTCGCATTTACTGATAAGATATGAGCTATGAGAAACTAAATTTTATAATAATAGCAATAAAGTTCAAAATTAATTATATGCTATATCTGATAATATATCATTAATAACTTTCACTGTTTGTTCCATTTCAAGTTCATTATCCAAGGTACGATAAGCATATAATTCTATGACGCTTCGTACTTTTTGTCTTAAACAAATACCAAATTAGGAAATAATAGACCGTAATTAGAGCTAAATTGTCATTACTATAAGTGTGGTGAAATCATTGGGCACAGCGACAGCGAGTCTTCTTCATTATCTGCTTTATAAATAATATATTCCAACTATTAATAATCCCCATTTGGGCAGATTTGTCTCCAGAGGTGGAGTAGAGGGTTTAAAAGCTTATCACCTGCTGTAGTGCTGACTTCCACAATTACCGCCACTAATTTCGTAATGCTACCGAGGTCTATCGTGCTCTTAGAAGACGGGGATAAACCTATTCTTCATATTATAAAGCCAAGTAGTTGCCTGTATTAATTCAAAAACCAATACATAGTTTGTTATTTTAACTTACATTTGGCAATGAGAAAATACATAGGAGCTAAAAAAAGGCAAGTCGTACTTAAAGATAGGTTATATATTTCGAGTTTTAAACAGGGAAATTGTTATTTTAATTATTTGGACTAGCTTAAACTACAGATAACACATTAGAATATGTACTAAGACAAGAAAAGCCTTCTAAAATTATTTTACTACTACAAGGGTGGTCTCTAGGTCCTGATCTTATCTTGAATCATAATCTACTCAACGAGCAATAACTCAACCATCACAATCCAAATGACTAATTACAGACAAGTCATTGATCATTAGCATACTAAAGATCGAATCAATGAACGATTGATATTTGTAAACACATTGTTGGGCGTACAAGAAATCGTCGTGAAAGTGCAAAACATCAAAAGATCGTCACGTACGATAGTTGAGACAATGGTGGCCTTGATACGAAGCGAGATGCGCCGGAGTGAAGCAACAATCACGTAATTCTGTATTTGTTAACAAGGAACGGTTAATTAATCGATGATTTATTTTACATTTCAACTGTCATGGGTTGAACAAATGGAAATAATGGTGCAGAGGCCGCGTAATTGGCACTTTTAACAGAAGATTTTATGATTATTTATGAAGCAACTATGATTAAGCTGACCTTGGCTTAGTTTGGAATACGATTAACAATAAAAAATAAGATAACAACTAATGCATTGAAAAATGAAGTTGATTCGCTCAAAGCCTTAACCGCTCATTGTGTTATAATATTGCATGGTAGACTTGTAGTTTATATGAAGCCTAGTTAAAAATCTGTAGTTTACGCGAGTAATGCCTATTGAAATAAAACAATCTTAACTGTTTGAAACGCAAAATTTTGCAGCAGTTGGGTTCACGTGATAATTCAGAACATTGCACGCCAAGCAAGTTAAGTTAATCACTAGGATTATGACTGCATTGAGAATTAAAATAACTGTTTTTGTAAATATTCATCGGTGTTTTTGTAAAACACTACAAAAAGTTATCGTTATCCAAACCAAGCTCGTTGATATAAATCTTAGTGCAACCGTCTGCAGATTACGAGGTTAAGATATTTCAGTTATCGCCATTAATTTCGCTACATTAGTAAAGCTTGCCAACCGACACCAGAGCAGCGTGGTGCCAAAGCGCTTAAACATGAGAGGCGCGAGCCTAGTAGTAAAACAAACTAACGAAACGCATTATTTTTATGATAGACGAGAGGACAGACATGGCATGGGGGTCACCTGATCCAAATGCGCTGTCAACCTATTTTGGCTTTGGATATTTGGAACTCCAGATTTGGACCGAAACGCGATTAAGCTTCACGGCCTTTTTTATCTGTGGACGGTGGTTCGCGACGCGGACGGAATTTTTACGACCCATCCAATCCAGATTTCCAGATAAAGTCCAGCATATTTATTATAAATTGAAAAATTAGAAACATGCTGGACCTGTTGGTGGGGATCAAACCCATTGGTCATTAGCCATACATTTCTACAATTAGACCAACGACCCCGTCAAACGCTTACGTGAAAACAACGTGTACTGTGTGATTTAGATTCACGTAATATTAGTAAACAAATGCACGCGTGAGTTTGAAATTCGCGAGTCTGCAAATTTGTTTGCTTAAGTAAGATATAACACGAAACCCTGTGTAGGCTAACGCGTGGTGTTGACTATGTTTTCATACAACGCCTCCATTGATAGATAATTGTAGGTATATTAATTTACTACACGTAGACATCATTACTTGTTGTAAGTAGAGATTGATATATGGGGGAAATTTCCCTTAAGTCGGGAATAGCGCAGACGGTTTTGTGTCTAGAACTTAAATTAGCCCTACATTACAAATTAAATAGTTGTTCATTCTTGATGAGGGCAAAATTTTAATATTCCTATCATTCATGACCTTTTGTCCAATTTTTTATATGCTAAGTCAAATACTCAAATGAGAACGTTAGGAAAAATCTATAAATTATTTAGAAATATGCTTCAACCACAGACGTCGAACCCATTGCTTGTCGAGCATTCCCAAAATTTAATGAGCCCATTTAAATAAAACACTTAAACGGTTTAAAACGCGATACATATTAGTCAAACTTATTTTGGTTGATTAATTTTTATCTATGGCTCCCCGTTACTACGGTTCTGCAAAGCATCCGAAACGTCGGGCCGTAGTTAAAATAATATCGCGTTTTAAACCGTTAAAGTTTGATTTAAATGTGTACTCGCGTAAGCTATAGAGACCATTCATTTTAAAAGAAGATATGGCTAAGTCTCAAGAGCGAAAGTTTAATAACAGCTACAAGGATCAAATTGCTCGTTAAGTGCTAACCAAATGGGGAGTTGGATAAGACGATAAAGTAAATGATGGTGTTGCAAAATCTTGCACCAAGTTATGTTGAGGTGATGTTACTTTCTCTCATGCATTGTGGGTTCCGGAGGTGTCATATTGTTATAAGGACGAATCCGAGATTTATAATTATTCATTTCAAGAATACATTTTTAAAATAAAACACGTTTAACGGTTTAAAATCGAAATATATTATTTACATAAATTGGGCCGTAGTAGTTTACTAATATATTTCACGTATTAAACCTTTAGAATTGTTTTAATAAAATGTGTACTACTTACTTGCTTAAAAAACAACTTAATATTAGTTAAACTTTAAGGAAAATTATTTTAACACGGCCCGACACTTCAGATGCTTTGCAGTAGCCGTGGTCACGGGGAGACCACGTCTGCTGCAAAACCAGCCAGTAAGTTTAAATAATATACATCGCGTCTCAAACCGTTAATGTGTTTTATTAAAATACTTACTAGTCGCGTAAACTACAGACAGTACTTACGACTCAAATGATGAATTTATACGGATGGAAGACTCTTTACGTAGTGATAGCTTTGTAAATAATTTAGAACAAGAAGTGGACGTAAGAATGCAAATGTCATAATACGTAAGTGATTAGTAAAAGAATGAAGAAAACGAGTTAAAATTAAAAGAGGACGTGGGTTAAATTAGAAAAACGGACAAGATTAAAAAGTATTATAAGACTAACGTGCGAATACGTCTTATGTAAACGACCTGTTTTAACAGGATATCCGATGTGTTAATTCATAAGTTGTCTATCTATTTAACATGCGATCGACGAGTTATCGGAAGTAACGTTTCGTTTAAAGTAGGTAGACCTGCCATGACAGATCGCGAACGAAAGAAAATCTTTGCCGCAATAAGAAAGTCTCCCACTTTAAATTTTTTTCAATTCCAACCAGTGGTTCCTGAGATTAGCGCATTCAAAGCAAACTTTTTAGCTTTATAATATTAGTATAGATTTGAGATTTTTTGTGTTATACGTATATTTTGCGTATTTCTTTTTGAAATTATGTAAATATTATATTTTCTACCTATCTATAGGACCTATAAAATAAATAAGACACCGGAGTAACTCACCCTTTCGATAGGTATTGGGTGCGTATGCGCATCCACTTCCGTATAGATGCAGAGCGTGGATTTCCTCGACAGCGAATCGCTGGCGAGGCTGCTCGAACTCGACCCCGTCGAGAACTTCATCCTTCTAGTGGGTATCAGGTGACATCCAAGCTCAATATAACTGGGTGATGCCGGCACATCACAAACGAGCTACCAGCGCCTGAGTAAATCCTCCAATCGGTAGACGCTGCGTAACTGACAGCAATTCCAAAAACATATATTCTTGCTTCTCATCAATGCCTAAAGCCTGTAACAAAGAAGAAAGAATGAATAACGTCCTCATATATTTGTCTGCTGAGAAATCTATGGATTTAACTTATACTTTAATATGGTACAGAATTTAAATAAAACACTTTAACGGTTTAAAACGCGATATATTAGTGAAACTTATTTGAAAATGATTTCTAACTTCGGCCCGATGTTTCGGATGCTTTGCAGCAGCCGTGGTCACGGGGAGACAAATAAGTTTAACTAATATTAACGTTTTAAACCAATAAAGTGTTTTATTTAAATGTGTACTACTCGCGTAAACTATAGACAGTATGGTACAGAACTTATTTCATGACGGGCTCGTTGGTCTAATGGTAGCAATGGCTGCTAATCAACGGGTCGTGGGTTCGATCCCCATCGGGTCCGACATGTTTCAAATTTACGTATATTTTTTCTGAAACATGTTGGTGGCAGGAATATCGAAATTTCGCCCGGGTGACGAACCACCCACCGACGAAAAAGCCGTCAAGTTTTATCGCGCTTTCAGTCTGTGGATTTCCGAATATCCAAAGTCAAAAACACTCGACAGCTTGCTTGTCTGTTCTCCTCTATCATAAAAAATATAATTTCATGGTAAGTGATAGACTCGAAGCGGCTCAAAATGTTTATTCAACATCGACGAAAAGTTACAGAGTATCGTTTATTGACTCTCGACTTTCTTTCACCTAGTAATCTCGCTCAATTAAAATTTGTTTGTCCACTTTTTATATGGTTTCGAAGTGAGATTGCATTTCATGATTTCACTTATCGAGCGAAGGTGTGAAGAATGTTGAAACGCGTCAAGGATATATCAATTAAGATAACGCCATCAGCGTTTGGATAGACGTGCTAAAGCCATTAAGTTCAGATCGATATGATAACAAATCCATAGTGTTAATTGCGAATATTGAAAGTACGTATTGTTTGTTTAAGTGGAGTAAGGTCTAAGCAATACTGATTTGTTTTAAACTATAACTTTCAAATTACATACACACTTAATTAAAAAAATATCGCATTAGTTACTGTTTGCGGTTCATACACGTGTTGAAGAAAAAACCAAACACTTTAACGGTTTATAACTTGAAATATAATATTTATATATTTTTAACAGCGAACTGTGATGTGGGTAAAATAATTAAATAAACTAATATATTTCGCTAGCAATTGATATTTCTTTCACCATCACATACTTGGAAAGATAAAAAGATCGATGTAATTTTATCTGTGACGAATATCAAATCTTATCTAGAAAGTATTTAGGCCGTTTTATCTGGTTTTGAAATACACACAAAAAATAAAACACTTTAACGGTTTAAAACACGATATATATTAGTTAAACTTATGGCCCGATGTTTGGTGAGTAACTGCTGCAAAGCATGTGAAACCACGGCTACTGTCAAGCATCCAGAACGTGCTGTATTAAAAATAATTTTCAAATAAGTTTAACTATATGGTGATTTGAACCTTTGAAGTGTTTTATTTATCGCATTTGAAACAGTTAAAGAGTTTTATTTAAATGTGTACTACTCGCGTAAACTACAGTGAGTATTTAAGTAAACCGTCGTAAATGTCTTCTCATTTAGAATCACCCATAAAACATCTAGACATTTGACAAGTCAAACTTTGCATACTGTACCCCACGATAACGTTAAAATTCGAAATTTGAAACACGCACGATCCAAACCACGGTGGTCATGTTAAACAGTACTTTACCGTAAAACATCAGTCTCGAATTACCAACTGGATTTAAGACATTTTACCCACAAGCAGTGACTCATTGCGTGTGGACCGTGTCGTAAATCGTGTTCTATCTTAAACCTTAATATTTACGTAATAAGGAAAAGCGATATAGTGCAGTGCTCGGGTCCGTGGCGATCCGATAACAACAACAGTTATGCAATTGATATAAAGCTCACCCGTAACGATGCTGGGACGATGACCACTGACTAATGTGCTAACCACGCTATCATTTATCAAAGGTACGTTATATTACAAAACCAATTATTACAAACAGTTAGCAAAAATTAATAGATATTACGTAAACAACTATCAGAATAGTGTTATATTACAAAATCACAAGAACAGCTCGAGAGCTGTATTTTGTGCAATAAAAAAGCTGAGATTCAAGAATCTTTACGCATTTACATAAAGAACCTAACTAACACGAGTACAATAACAAACGCCCATAAAGAATAGACGCAAGACTAATCTTACCTACCTGCATTTATATTATAATATATATATATATATATATATATATATATATATATATATATATATATATATATATATATATTCCTACTATATTATAAAGGCGAAAGTTTGTAAGTATGGATGTATGGATTATGATTTTTTACCTTTCAGTAAAAACTACTAAGATGAAGAAACTTTACCACAATATACAAATAGAATACATAAGGCTCAATTTTTGAGGTTTTTAAGTCGGGTCGTAAAAAACAATTTTTTGCCTTACATTAAACGCTGACTGAATCCTACAAGATAGATCAAAACAATGTACTAATATTGTACAACTTAAAAATCTCCAAAATCCTATGTAATTTATCTCTTAGAATAACCCACAAAAATTTTTTATCCTTTACTTTGTACGAAAATAATGGCTTATTTAGAAGCGATTTTAAGAATACATATTAATCCTTATCCAATTAAGTATTTAAATACATTTCATTTATTAAAGATCAATATGTTTTTAAATTAAATTAAATAAATATTTTCGAAGATATCAAGATTTAAAATGCAATCATAGGAATTTGGATAAATAGAGTAGGGAAGTGGGGAGGGGGTAGGTGGTAGGGAAAAGTGGTTTGATACCCGAAATGAACGTAGGGAATTTGGTGGTTTTGGAATTTTAAGGACTAGGATTTGATAAAAACGTATTGCTACTTTTATTATATAAGCCTAAGTTGTTATTGCAGGTTTTTTTTGGTTAGGAGTTACACGTACAAAAAGATACTTCATTTAATTCAATTACTATATAGATAGGTTAATTAAATAGGCAAGGATTGCATTAAAGTACAATCATAACAATAACTACCGTATGTATTTTTTGGAAGTATAGAAACAAACTACTTAAGAATTATGCCGGAAAGCGTAATCTAATCTTTCTGAACTCTGATAAAACTCGAAATATAAAAGTAGCTAGACTTAACGAGACTTTCCACAAGCCGAACTGGAAGGCTTAAACAACAGAGCGTGAGGCAGCTCAAAGAGCTGCTGAACACAGAGCATCCCAAGATAGACGTGACAATCTGAGTATCTAGCATCTAAGCTGAGAACACCGAAATCTCAATCTCGACGTCAACAGAACGCTGAATATCTGGGATCTCAAAGGCTTTGAGACACCCGAACAGTCGCAGGATCGACAGCATTCGATAAAACTATTTGAGTAGATAAACTCTTGATTACAAAGCCACAAGCTTATAAAAATAGAAGCGATAATAAAGAATGCAGATTTTGCGGTCTCTTAAATGGAAAGAGGAAGAGGAGCATGTTTTCGGGAGGAAAATATTCTTCCTTCAATAGACGAGCCTGTTGAACCTCTTAAAGAACTTTTTTTTCAAATGAAAAATGAGTCTCGCCGTTTTTTAAAAACATAAAATATTTTCTCACGGTCAGCTCTATGTGGCTTGCTCACGTCTTTCCAAAGCGAGGAATCTGCAGTTTATCTGAAGGAAAAAGATCGTTAAATGTAGTTTATAGGAGATACTGATAGCGACCTATAACCTATATTAGGCTCTGCAGTGCTTATTACTATTTCTACTGATTATAGACTAGACGGACGAACCTGAAGTCCACGCGAACGAAGTCGCGGGCAAAAGCTAGTATATATATATATAAATAAACTATATTATAGATCTTTTCACACGCTTAGTATTACAGTGACCGAATTAAAAAAAAAACACTTTTTTGGCAAATCGTATAAAACTATGATGATGGCGTTATTATAGTAATGTCAGTGCATTTATCTAATTTTACTCAAATTTTGAGTTAGGTCACTCTAATACTAAGCGTGTGTTTTGAAAGTTAAAAATTCTGGTAATGTTAATGAAAATTACCCATCATCGTAAAATTGTGTCATTTTTATGTTAATGTACTTTACGATTTCAATACCTTGTTAAATAGAAGCTTTTGATTGTTATTACACCACATTGTGCAGTCGTGTAAAAAAATCTAAACAAAGAAACAGTAAACCACATTTAAAGTTGAATGACATACGCCCCGGGTACTTTAGAAACAATTATTAACGGCCGTCCTTGTGCAGGCAAAACGCGTAACAATAAAGCATGAGAAATTATTGCGACAATAATTAAAGCAACGAAGCCGTACAGTACTTGTACAATTGCTGCAACAAAGTGGGTCGGTAATGTACTTAAAGTTTTATTTTCACATGCACGTTTAACCTATAACGATTTAAGTTAAAATAATGTAGGTAAACAGACGTCGACGAAGCAAATAATGTTGTACGCGAACTTTAAAAACCCACGTAGGTTGAAAGACTTACAAATTATAATAATGTACAGAATACAATTATCAAAAAAGTAACACGGTTGATCAATTGTTTTATCAACACTTTGTTGAAGCCTGTGTCGTATTTTTTTCAAATAAAAAAATATTGCTTCTTCTAAAAATACCTGCTTTTTCTTTAAATCCATAATAAGCAAAGATTGATACACTGTTTATATCGATAAACGGCATTCATCGTTGCTGTTCAGATTAAACAAGAGCGGTCCAGAAACACCACCTTATCAGATACGTAACGTGTTACTGATGGTTCCGTATCACATGCGTGCATATATGAAAGATCCCACTTTTCT